GCTCCAAGTCAGGCCTGTTTGGGAGAGGACTCTTCTTCCAGCCCTTGCGAGTCCAGGACCTAGGCTGGGTGCTGCTAGGGAAGCCTGTTCAGATAAGTCACTCACACTCTGTTGGGATTAGGTACCTCCAAAGGGCTCTTTCTCACAGTACAGGGTTAGTACCCAGGCCCATGGAGTCAAGAAGGGAAGTGGGTGTTAGCATGTCCAAACCTGTGGAAAGTAAGCCTGAGGATCCCCTGGGAACAAGGGTTCAAAACCAGCTTTCTGATCTCCATCCTTCCGGAAACATACCTTCATGTAACAGTGACTCAGCCTACGTCCATGAGCACCCAACACACACACACACACACACACACACACACACACACACACACACACACACACACACTGATGCTTGGCCTCTCCTCTGTGCCTCCTGGATCTCTGGTCCCCTCTTAACACCAAACTGCCAGGAGACGAACTGCTCCCCTTCAGTTTGGTGCCCTCCACCAAAGACTTCAGCCTCTGGGGCTTGCACATCCTTGGGACAGAAATAGGATATCCCCCCACCCTGCCAGCCTCATGGGGAAATGGCGGAGAAAGACACAGGCAGGGAGGACTAGACTAGCCAGAACTCCAAGCCTGGCCCCATGCCCTCTTGGAGCATGGCAGAGGTCTGTGAGGCGAAGAAGGAGCCACACCCACAGGCACTAGAGTGTGTCTCAGGAGTCAGAGGGGCTTGGGAAGATTGTACAGCCTCCTCCGCTTTACGTGCAAGACTGAGGTCTGGTAGAGCCGTGCGGACACTGGGCCTAGGATGTGGCCTCCGTGGGCCTCAAGCCACAGCCTGGGCTGGAGAAGAGGGAGAGGCGAGAACCCCGAGACTGGTGTGTGGCTTCCACGAGCTGTGGTTTGGATGGGCTGCAGCAGCCGGCTCTCCCAGCCTCAGCCCCGCCCCGTCCTCCCTCCCCTCTTTTGCCGGTCTGTCCCCTCTTGGCCCATCTCGATGCCCTTGGCCAATCTTCACCGTGTTCTGTGTCTCCCCTCCCCTCCCCTCGCCCTCTCTGGCTGTCTTCTCTCTTAGTTGCACACTTGAAGGACCGGAGGCTGAGCGGAGGAGCAGGTAGCCCCGTGGCCCCTCTCCGGATGCATGGACGCCCTGCCTAGCTCCCCCCCCCCCCCCAGTGCTGCAGCCACAGTCTGTCTTGCCGTGGTTTGGAATCTTCTTCTGTCCTGCTCAGCTCAGAGCCCCAGTGGATCCCTGCTCCTCTGCGGAGCCCGTCTCCTGCGGGCTCTGTCCCGCGTGGGAACCTGATGATGCTGGCTGGTCTCGGAGCGGTTGTCTTGTTTTTAGGTGGCTGTGGGCTGTGGGGCTTCCAAAACTTTGGGAGTTAGAAGCGCTAGGTTGGCCTTGGCGGGCATCGCGTCTGTCCCTGGCCCAGGCTCCAGTAGTAGAAGCAAGATGCGGGGTAGTTTGTGGCTGTTTGTGTCCTCCACAGAAGCAATCCTGCCTCCTACCCGGTCACTCTCTGGATAAAGGTCGAGTTGGCCACACGGTGTCTTCTTATCCCAGTTCAGAGTGCCTAATTAACACCTGCCCTACCCTGGCCGTAGCTCTGGGTAGCTGTTGGGACCTAGGACCCTGCTGGCTGCAGCCCGTTTGGCCTGCTCACTGTTGCTGGCACTGCATGCCTCGGCCGGTGGAACCAGGACCAGCACCCCGGCTTGGGATAGGCCTCTGTGTTGTGGCAGGACTGGGTCTCACTGGCCGCTTTGCTTGCATTGCCCTTTTTCCTGCCTGCTGGTACCCACCTTGCCTGTCCTCAGGACCCTTTGTTTTCTGTCCACAGTGCCCTCAGCCAGCATGACCCGCCTTGCGCGCTCGCGCACGGCGTCCCTCACCAGCGCCAGCTCTGTGGATGGCAGCCGCCCGCAGCCCTGCACCCACTCAGAGAGCCATGAGGGGATGGGCCAGGTCAACCACACCATGGAGGTATCCTGCTGAAGCCCTCGTCCTGCCCAAGACGCCTGCTTACCTGCCCCCAGGTCCCACTGCCGTCTCCGCACCGGCTCATCTTCCGTTTTAGTTTATTTTTGTGAGAGTGAAGTGGAGGAAATGGGGCTACTTCTCTTTTATTTAAAAATGGAAGGGGTCCACCTTAGTACAGCAGAACAGTCTTGGATGGTGTGAGGGGCTCGCCTCATCTACTCCCATTTCACTCATGTTCCACTAGTTGATATGGCTCCTCGCGTCTGCTCTCCACGGCCCTGGGGTGGGGCCAGAATATAGGATACAGTATTGAAGAAAGAATATGGCCCACCCCCTGGGCCTGGCCGATGTGAAGACAGTGTGGGGTTTGAAGATGGTGGGTGCTGTGTTTAGGCTCTGATGTGAGAGGGGGGTCAGACCAATGGGGAGCCCTGAACCTCAGAGGGTCCCCTTCCTTGTAACCTTTGCACCAAGCACACCTAGTCTCCGAGTAGAGGTCACCGTGGTCGTAAGGATGGAAGCCACGAGAGGGCGCTCTAAGCAGCCAGCCGTTTTCCTGGTGCTCTGTGGGCAGGTCAGGTGCTGTAAGGCCAGCCAGGCAGAGCTATGGAGACAGCATATGGAGAACTCTGAGGGCAGGAACCCCCATACTCTACCACCCCAGGCCCAGGTCACATGGTCTCCTGCCCCTGGTGGCAGAGGGAAAAGGTTAAGATTGCTTTGTGTGCTGTGTGTAGCCCCTGAGAACTTCATGATCCCTGTGGCAGTTGGAAGGTACTTGAGTCCTGCAGACCCCTCTTGTCCCGGATTCCACCCAGAGTGTTTATGACAGTGTCCTGGTCGGTCAGCTTGGGCCAGTGTAACACAGACATCACTGGAGAAGTGAGCTTGTTAGAGAGGTCTGGTCCAAGACAGAAAGATACTGTGCAGGACTTGTGCCTGCTGGAGGGGCTGGAGCTTGCGTGGGCCTGGGGTGGGAGATGGGCGGGTCCTTGATGTGAACAAAGGTGGAGTGGCCAAAGGCTCTTGATGCACCCCAGCCCTCTGGAGCACACAGCTAAGCTGTCTTCCCGCCCACCATCTCACCAGGTAGACTCGCAGCCCAGAAACCAGAGCTACTGTTTCAGCCTGGTCACTGGTTTCACACATTGTCACCCCCAAACGGGGAATAAAACACTAAAAAAGAAAAAGAGAAGAGCTGTGTGTGTATGGGGGAGGGTGTTATGGTGTGGGTGTCCTGCACTGAGGACACCCACATCCCTGTATCTGTGCCACCCCCTCTGTCACTGTAAGCCATTTCTAGACCGCTCAGTCCAGTGGAGTGTCTTCTGTCCCCAGTTCTGTTCACTCACGTGCTTCCGTGACTACTGAGTGTGACTGTTTAAAGCTGGTAGAATTAATCCCTCACTGTAGATAGCACTTCAGAGTATTGGACATCTTTTTGCTGTGTTCTTAAGATATCTATAAATACCTATAATTATATATATATATGTATATCAGGTCCTCCTGTGTGTGGTTTCCCAATTGGTGGTTGTCTCCTCTTGGTCAAGGGGAACTTTCGATGGAGTTCACTACTTTCCTCTCTGTACAAAATTAAGAGCCTAATTTTGTGTATTCCAGTGGCTGCTAAAGAGATTTTGAGATGACAAAATGTAAAACAAAAACCCTTGTTGATGTAGAAAGTTAACTGTGCAGAAAAACTAATAAAGAACTTAAGACTAAAGAGTGAGTGTGGTGTTTCCTATCACATGGAAACTGTTAGGCTGCCTCGGGCACCGATGGGTGGAAGATAGTAATTGTTTCTGTATTATCTCTATACCTTCAGTGCCTATTACATACATTCGGGGAAGTGAAGGTTGGCATGGTCTCATTCTGTGGCCCAGGCTGGTCTTGAACACTCAGAAATCCTGCTTCAGCTTCCTGGGTGTTGGGATTATGGAGGCCACCCTGTCTAGCTTTTTGTTTTTCCCTTAGGAGTGATAGGGATTGAACCAGGGTGGTCACACATGATGGGCAAGGTTCTGCCGTGAGGCTATATACCCTGATCGAGACATGATTTTTACCGATCCTGATGCTACTTCTCAGTGTCACAGCTGAGCAAATAGCCTAGCCATCAGACCTCTTCAAAGCAAGGGCACACCACGTTTTGCTTGGTTTTTGTTGCTTTGAGACACGGTCTTATTCTAGCCTAGGCTGGACAGGAACTCCCAGTAATCCTCCTGTCTCAGCCTCCCAAGTACTGGAATTGCACTGCCAACTTCTCCACGTTCAATCATTTGTTCCATCATTCCTTCCCCTGATAGTGACTCCTTCCAATGTGTCAGGCTTTAAAATAGCTATCATATCTATGCAGAAGATGAAAAACAAGAGTAAATTAGCAACTGTGTGTGTGTGTGTGTGTGTGTGTCCATCAGATGTAGAGAACCTTCGGGCACCTCAAACCCACGTGCAACTGTCTAATCGAACGGAAAGTCAGTGAGAGAGATGCCTGTCGATAACAAGGGGTCGGTCCCTACCGCTTAGCAGCCAAGACCCCAGGAAGAAACCGGATTTGGTTCCTGCACCCTGCTATCGGGGGCGCGCCCAGAACTAGGGTGGAGGCAGCACAGAACTCGCCTGTGTGCTCGCGCGGTTTCTAAACCGTCTGGAGGCCACGCCAGAGCCGCTGTGAGGAGGGAGGGAGGGCGGAAGCGCGGCGAGGGTGCGGGAGCCGAGCTCCGCCCCGTCCGCTCGCGTCCAGCGACGCCGGAAGCGCAGGGAGGACGCGGCGCCTCCCT